TCTTAGTTTCTTAGCTTTATATAATGGTTGGGAATAAGATAATAGTTTAGAAATATGTATTAATGCTTCTTTTATCATTTTACAAAATATCATTGCATATTTYHACATATWTCATAATATTTCCACAATGTCTCTAATTTTTACAATATTTCCCCTCGACATTTCCGACATATGTCCCATATTTTGGTAAGCAACATTTCCATCGACATTGACATTTTAAACCTTGGTTATTCCTTATGTGACCTTTGAAAATGTTCATTTCTTTATCTCAACTGAGCCTATTTCTCTTGATACTCTATCCCCACCTCCTCTTCCCTTACTCGTGAAGGTGTTTGTGCCTGCTCCTATTGTTCAAGAGTCAATACGACCACTGATTCATCGAGTGTATGCTCACAACCCTCATGGTATTGTGTTTCAGCCTTCTCCAGCTCCATCTCAGCCATCACCAACTCCTTTGTCAATGGATCCATCTCATTTCGATCTGCCCATTACACTTTGCAAAGGTAAGCGTGCTTGTACTGAATATCCTATATCTCGTTATGTTTCAAGTGCCCATTTATCTCCATCCTATTGGAATTTTGTATCCCTTCCATCGTCTGTGTTTGTTCCTAGATCTCTTCAAGATGCTCCTCTCTCCAGAATGGAAAAGGGCGATGGATGAGGAATTTTATGCTCTTCAATCTAATCATACTTGGGACCTCACTTCTTTGCCTCCAGGGAAGAAAGCAGTTGGTTATCAGTGGGTTTACATGGTTAAGCATCTTGTTGATGGTAGTGTGGAGAGATATAAAGCACGCTTAGTAGCCAAAGGGTATACACAAAACCTATGGTGTTGATTATACTGATACTTTTTCACCTGTAGCTAAAATGGATTCGCTTCGGGTGCTTATTCCCCTGGCTGCACACTTTGATTGGCCATTGTTCCAGTTGGATATTAAAATTGCATTTCTTTACAGTGGCCTAGAGGAGGAGGTGTATATGGAGCAACCTCCAGGGTGCGTTGCTCAGGGGGGAGGAAGGTAAGCTGTGTCGGTTGAAGAAAGCAATTTATGGGTTGAAGCAATCTTCGAGGTTCTGGTTTGGGAGATTCAGTAGTGTAGTACAACAGTTTGGGATGACACAATGTAGGGTTGATCATTCAATGTTYAGTAGAGATACTACCTCTGAGAAGATTGTGTTGGCAGTCTATATTGATGACATTATTATCACAGGAAGTGATGAGCATGGCATTGAAAAGCTCAAACGGTTCTTACAAAGCCAGTTCCAAACTAAGGACTTGGGGCACTTGGAATATTTTCTGGGCATAGAAGTAGCAAGGTCAAAGTCAGGAATCTCCCTCTCTCACAAAGGAAGTATGTGCTTGACTTGTTGGAAGAAATTACTCTTTTAGGGGCAAAGCCAATGGATACCCCTATAGATTTGAATGTGAAGATGTCTACTAGTGAGGGGGAGCCCCTAGCTGATCCTGGACGGTATAGGAGAGTAGTTGGAAAACTGATTTATTTAACCATTACAAGACTAGACATTTCCTTCAATGTTGGATTATTGAGGCAATTCATGCAGAATCTAAGGACAATCCATTGGGAAGGTATTGTTAGAGTTCTATGCTATTTGAAGCGTGCTCCATGTAAAGGGTTGTTGTATAAGAAAGAGAGAACTTTCCTTGGAAGGGTACACAAATGCTTATTGGGCAAGGTCGATTACTGATAGGAAATCAGCAACTAGTTACTACACAATTTTGGCAAAGAATTTGATTATACTTGGAAAAGCAAGAAGTAGAATGTGGTGGCCATGAGTAGTGTTGAGGCCGAGTACAAAGCCATGGCCCACACTACATGTGAGTTGGTGTGGTTGAAGCAACTATTACAATAGATGGGAATATCAGTCACAACCCCCATGAAGCTATTTTGTGACAACCAGGTAGCCATTCATATCTCTTCCAATTCAATGTATCATGAGAGGACCAAACACATAGAGGTGGATTGTCACATTGTTAGAGAAAAGGTGGTCAGTGGAGAAATCATTGCCCCATATGTGATGTCTGAAGATCAACTAGCTGATTTGTTTACCAAAGGCTTGAGTGGTGCTCAGATGAAATACATTTGTAACAAGTTGGAGTTGTATGATATATATGCTCCAACTTGAGGGGGAGTGTTAAAATATAGTTTTGTTCTAGGGTTATTTTAGTCTTTTCTCTTCTTTAAATATGTGTTTTTTGTCTTAATTCTCAAGTCTCTGTATACAGGGGTAGTATTGTAATTTTACTTTTCATTATGAATTAAACATATAGGGCAGCAGTTCTTTCTCTCTCTCTCTCTAGAGACTATGAAGCCCTATTTGGTTTGACTTCTTCTTCACCTCTTCTTCTCCGTCTCTTCCCCTTCTAGGCTCATATCAAAGGTTTCTTTTTATTTATTTAATTAAATGTAGGCCTGATAACAGAACCTAAGGCACGTAAGTGTGTCTTCCTAGGATATGCCTCCACACAGAAGGGATGCTGTTTTGATCCGATTCATGGAACCTGCTTTGTATCTAGGCATGCTACATTTGCTAAGTCTATTCCTTTCTTTGGTATTTCTCCTAAGGGGGAGCATTCTGAGGAGCCATTTGTTATGTCCTTAGCTATTCCTCTTCCAGTTCCTTTTAAGTCTTCTGTTGAGTCATTTACTTCTGTTGCCTTTCCTTCCATTGTGTCTATTTCACATGTTCTCGCTCCCCTTCCTCTAGCTCATCCTCCCCTGTTTCCTTCACATCCTATTGTCCAAAGGTGGTACCAAAGACAAAGACTCAGGCATGGGCAAGTTGCTTCCACTCTTTTAATAGAGCCCCT